CTAAACTATTACTACTAGCCTCTATCTAAGAGATAGATATTAAGGTTATAGAGGATAGTTATAGAGAGTAGTATAGGGCTACTACTAAGTTATAGATTATAGTTAATTATAATATAGGAACGAGTAAACTAACGGGTTATACCTCGAGAGTCTATAGCCTAGATAGGGATAGACTAGACTCTATAGATAGAGATCTCCTATTAATTAATAGTATTAATTAAGGAAGCTATAAGCTTTATATTTTAGAACTTATACTATTAGATAAAGCTCTAGCTAATAAGATCTATCTCGGCTCTACTATCGAGATCTATATAGATATAGAGGATATCCCGGACTATAATATTAATATTAAAGCGTATTCGAGTTCCTATAAGATTTAGAGATAAAGAGAAAGGATCTACTCTATCTTAGTAACTTTTCCCTAGATAGCTAATTAGATAGTCTTTCCTTTCTTAGGATAGTTATATATATAGTATTCCTTACTTCTATAAGTAAAATAGGTATTTCTCTTCTTATTACTACTAATATAATTCTTTTTACTATTATACTAGCCCTTATATTTAGGACTATTATAGGGCTTCTAATCCTTAGACTCTTTTATAGGATTATAAGAGTTATAGGAGTTATATTAGCCTCTTATCCTCTTATTATCTTAGGAGATAGCTAGCTAGTTATTAGTATCCTTTCGTTTCTTAGGACCTAGGGACTAAATTTCCTAGTAGTAGTAGACTATATTAATTATCTTATCCTAGGTCTCTAGAAGCTTAATCTAGTATAGTCGAATAATATACTATAGGTTATATTATAGCTTTACGAAGTATAAAAGGGATCGCTCCTTCTTAAGGACTTATAAGAAGTATTACTTTAGGATATCTAATTATATATAGAACTTCCTCGGATCCTTATTATAATATTAGTATATTCTTTTAAGCTAAGCTATAATCTTAGATTCTAGGCTAGTAGCGTTTTTAATAAATATAAGAGTCTACTACTTAAAATATTCCTAATCTTCTTTAATTAGCTAGGAATAAGTAGCTTCCTTCTCTTTATAGTATCGATACTATTACTAATAGTAGATAGTATCTATATAAATAAGGACCCCGATAATCTTACGCTTCTCTATATAGTATTTCTTTAGGACTTCCTTAAATTACTAATAAAGATTAAGTAGCTACTTCTAATACTTCTAGAGATTAAATTCTTTTATAAATAGGGGGATATTTATAAGTTTAATTTCCTTTTCCCTAACTATATCTATATCGAGGTAATCGGGAGATATATAGTACTAAGTAGGAAGGGATTTCTCGAGTTCTTTATTCTTTAATAATACTTAGAGGATAGCTAGCTATTAATATAGATTAGCTAGCTATTCTAGCTTATTAATAGTTTCCTAGGTTATAGTAAAATAGATATTAAGAGATAGGAGGTCTTAAGCTTCCTAACCGATAGAAGAGATATTTAAGATTCTTATAGTCGGGATTAAAGAGACTAGCGGGAGATCTTTAATATTCTTAGGTTCTAGGTTAAATACCTCCTAGACTTATAGTTCCTAGGATTTATTAGTATAACTATAGATTCGCGGCGCTATCTCTTATAGTAATAATAGAGAGAAGAATTAGAACTATTAAGATAGCTACTTTAGTAAGATAGCTAGACTTAATTATTAGGAAAGAGATAGCTTATAGTAGTTAGATTAGTATAAAGACTAATTCTTAGGGATCCCTACTAGTTCCTTCTCTAGTATCTATCTTATAGTCCTCTCTCTCTATACTCTCGAGAGGACTACTCTTAACTCCCTCTTCTATCAATCGATCGATCGATCGGCTACCCGGAGAGATAGGATAGAGCTAATATAGAGATTACGATCCTTCGGGTTAGAATATATAGGATAATAGGGGTCCGAGGCTAGGCAGAGGGGCCCTGGGAGCCTAGCTCCCTAGAAGCTACGGGAGGGCCTAACGCCTAACTATCACGTAGCTAGGCCGGGATCGTAGGTTACGGGTTACCTAATAATTACTAGGCTACGGATCACCTGACGGGGTACTTTAATAAAGGGAGTCCCCTTACAATAGATCAGGCGTTCCAAAATCGAGTGAAGCTAGTCCTAACAGATTTATATAAATCTAGACACCTAGACCTTTGGCCGCTAGGCAACTTCTTAGTCGCGTGTAGAAGGCGAAAGAAGCTGTCTCAAGGTTCACCCAAGTAGTTTCTATTTTGTTTGACTCGCAAAGTATGCCGAAGGTTCATTTTAGTGGTCAAGCTACGGAGAAAAGCTCTTTACCCTCGGTCAAATGCAGAAATTCCACTTCCATTGTGGTTTGCTAGCCAAGGCAGGTTATCAATTGCGCCACGCTTTGCTTCGCAAAACTTCGAATACGAGGAGTATTGGCACTTTCGTAATCTACAGATGGATCTTCCAATGCGGCAGCGCTTCGATGATATTTGGGCTGAAATCAGTGGAGGATTTCCGTATGGGCGGGCAATGCATAGTAGGCCGACCTCATCGGCGGTTAAGGATATCTCGACATCACCTGAATGCAGGACGATGTAAACCAACGGTTTGCTCCCCAGGCCCATTCATTCTGAAATATAAGAAATAAAGTTGAATTTTCAAGAAGATTGCGAAATTTCTTTGGATTTGATGAAGTATACGGCGTGGCGACAATTCCGAAGACTGAAAGTCGACCAACGTTCATATCTCTATGGTGATTGAGCCACGCACAGTCAAGCTCTCTCTTTTAGTTGCACTTAGTCATCTCCGACTCAGATTTGATTCATATTACTTTGCATAACGCAACGCTATACTAAGCTGGAAAATCCACTACCAACTTGCCCCCGGCTACAGCGCCTGCTCGTAGTTTGTTTAATCCATCTAATATACCCTCAAACCCATCCTTTTCCTTGACAGTAGGAATCGGTTTTAGGATGTGTGTGATTGTTGGAAGGACATTGTAAAAGCGGACAAGAGCTTGGCGGTCGGATGGTTTAGCCTCGAACTTTGGGCCAATTGGGGGTAACCACTGAAAAGGGTGACCAAACACCGTATACGCCATCACCATCTCGTACAACACGCCCGGTATGCTTGACTTGCCGTTAGGCAATAGCGTTACCACCGTACCGCCAGTGTTCTTCAGTACTTCTGCACACACGGAAGTAGATTTTCCTTCGGAGAAACAATCGACGGCCATTGAGATCTTAGGATACTCCTTGACAACATCAGCTGCAACGGTGGCCGACCTGTAGTCAAACACTGCAGTGGCGCCGTACGCCTTAACAAGGTCGAATGAACGCGGCGAGGCCGTCGCAACAACTTTATACCCAGCTGCTTTTGCAATCTGGATGTGAAATAGTCCAGTGCTAGTGGCGCCAGCATAGATGAAGATCACCTCATCTTTAGGAGTTGCCTGATCACCTTGGACAAAGGGAAGGCCATGACGGACATTGAGGGTCAACATGGCAGTCACGGCTGAGACGCCGTATGTGGTGGCGTCCGTGTCGCTGATTTCATCAGGGACCTTCCAAGCCAAATCCGCGTCGACTTTCAAGTACTCGGCGAAAGCGCCCTTGTCGGGAAAAAGGCCACCGTGGACGGCGCCCGCCACGCGATCGCCGGGAGTCCATCCAGACTTGACAGCGCTGCCGACCTGTTGAACCACGCCGGCATAGTCGCAGCCGATGATGGAGTGAGGAGGAGAAATGACATCTAGGTGCTTGAAATCCGTAGGGTTCAACGCGACCGCCTTGACTTTGACCAAAATCTCGTTGGGTGAAATTGTAGGAATAGGAAGATCGTCCGTGACCTTTCCTCCCTGGCCACCGACCGATTTACCACTGGCCAGGTTGAAAATTCTGGTGGTAATTTTGCGATTGGAAACAAGAGCCTTCATGATATGGATGCACAACAAATCACCAAAAGTATACGGTGAAATACGGAGTCGCATGTCTTAGTATTTATGGAAATGGTCAATTATTAACGCCACGTGCTTTTGCAGATTAATAGATCACGAGGAAAGTTTAGAATTACGCTACTGGAACTTAGGTGGGGATCAAGTAATCAACGTTATCTCCCCGACGGCATAATGTTACAGTAATTAGGTCGTGACGGAATGGTTATGTAACCCATCCGAATGTCATGGAGGATCTATTGATCCAAAACGCGGGAGGTGTCAAGGCACATCAGTATAGGTCGCAGAGAAATATAGTTAATAATCATCTGATCCTGATATTCCTACAATCCTATATTAGGTTACTCGTGCTTACTTTAGCATACATAGGCGGTGTTGCGCGGTGAATATCGTTCACAATCGGCCTTATTTCACGCAATATGTCGGACTCAAAGTAACGGTCAATCCTTATTACCGGGTACGTTGAGACCGATCCACACCTCCATATTCCCTGACCTAACCGCTCACCCACCAGATATTCCTAAGGGGGTGCCGGCAACGCCTAGCCTTGTAGTTTGCTTCTAAGGACCTCCGCGTCTTTACGACCGCTAGGTCGCTGAAGACTTTGACTAGCCTCTAGGGGGAAAATTTTGAAACGCTAACTCTTGATGTCACGGACGCGAGCAGTATTAAGGCCCTTACGGCAGAAATTTCGAGTCGTATAGGAGGTTCCTTAGACATACTCTTTAATAATACGGGCACTCGTGGGTTATCTCTAGAATAGTCAATTATAAAATTTTGCACGGAATTAACGCTGCTCATACCCTAGTTTACGAAGCGCCTGCTATCGAGGCAGATCCCCCTCGCGTGCGTGTACTCTTCAACACGAACGTTTTCGGACTCATGGAAGTGACTACTGCCTTCGCCCCGCTTCCGCTAGCTAGCGTGAGCTCAGGCTTTTCGCCGATAATAGTTAACATCGCCTCTGTTCTAGCGCGCGTCCCGAACCCATTCGCTTCCGCTTATAACGCTGGCAAAGCGGCTGTAGCAGCCCACTCGGACACTGTTCGACTCGAGTTGTAGCCGCTTGGGATCAAAGTCAAAACCTTGTACATGGGAGAGGTATCGACTCCTTTGATGGCGGCGGATAATATTAAATTTGGGCCGGAGAGTATCTACTACGTCGTGGATGATTCTGTAAAGGCGCGAACAAATACTTACCGTGCAAAGATAATGGCGCTGGCTCAGTTTGCCCGGTAAGTTGCAGACGAAGTTCTCACTGGAAAGAGTGCCACCATTAGGAAAGGTACTAATGCCTTAGCGGTTTAGCTTTTGAACGCTGTGGGACTAAGGAATGTATTCGATAGTACCGTGTTAGAGGGGGTTCGGCTAGATAAGGAAGAAGCCAGGTCAATTATTTTTAAGCTTGGTGAAGCAAAGGCAAAGAAGGATGCGCCAGGAAAGGGTTAACGTAGCCAGATATAGCTAGGCTCACAAGCCTTAGGGAACTTGATAAATTTGGAATGTATATAGTATATATAATTACTGAGTGCTTGACTGTATTTTGTTTCTTTAATACATATTTATATATATGGTTAGGAAGAAGAGACCGAAAGCTTGCTAGGAGAGAGTAGAGAAACTGTCGTCAACTGAGATAGCGGTTGTGCGGTCTTTTTGAATTATGCGTCGATTGTAAGTATTAACTTGAGATCATCTTCGTCGACTTTAGTGATATCATTTCGTGGAAAAGTGGAGATGTGTATTACAGTAACATTGGATTGGCAAATAACTAGCCCATATTCTCTATTCTCTATGTTTTCGTATATATTGGTATCACCAGCTACGTACTATGTCACAGTTAAGTGGAAAGCATACATGCTCCAAAAGCAGAAAGTAAATTGATTGATGTAGATAGATGTATATTCCAGGTCCTCGTATTTTCCTGCGACCCTGCGACCTATTTTACCTGGAAAGAAGGTACACATGGTATCATCTGGCCACAAGTTACAACAGGCTAGTATTTCCACTGACTTTACACTATGCTTCTCCAGTGTCGGTCGAGCGCCCTTTGAGCGGTTTGAAACAGCGACTCCGAAGAAAGCTATTTCCAACCGCCACTTTCTCATGCCACCAAAGCTTAAAGGACCAGAATTCTCGTCCTCTTGATTCTTCACCTTCATGCTTTCAAATGAGATTCCGAAAATGAATTCTATCTTGAACAGTCCTCTAGAGCCGAGTCTTAGGGGCAGGAAGGGTTGTGAGAAGTGATTGATGTAAGCGCTCATCCTCCATGTCTCAACGCTCAACTCTTGTGCAGGAAGATGTGGTTTGCTGACAAGTTATTAATACATAAATAGCGAGTTCAGAACGACGAGCGCTTGCCACAGCATCGGTGATGCTATTCAAGTCTACCGAAGCTTAATACAACTACAGCAGCCTGATTAGTGAGTCGGTTATGGCTGAGGCTACCGTAGGGGATGTGAAGTATCTCTCCATTGTGCCTAAAAGGCTTTGCTTTACTTTGACTCATCTCACCAACCATGAACTTCCAAACTCCCCTACCTTCCACGACCAATCTCCGCCTGACCCCAACCTGGGTCGACTGAAGCAGCTGCTGGAGCGTGCACCAGCTGAAATTTCCATGGCAATTGAGCTTGCGCAATCTTGTTCTGAAAGCAATGAAAAAGCGAGCATCCTGGAACAGATGGATTCGACTTCAAGAATCCCATCTGTACAACACTCAAGGACTTGAATTCGTCTGGGAAGTGGGCATGGGTGTGTGGCTAAACTAAAGTAGAAAATAACGGTAGGATCACTCCTCTCTTTTCATCTCAACGCAAAGCAGGAATATAATCGCAGAAAAAGCTTCCATCATCAGTGTATCCATGGATGGAAAAATGCAATGAGCGATTTACCAAGAGAAATGCATTCACATCGGATGAATCCTCGTGGACAACATGTACGGCGAAGACCTTGCGGCCTCGCGCATTCTCGGAACATAGCATTTCTATGACCATGTCAAACAGCAGCAAAGCTCCAGCAGTGTCTTCTAGTGCGGGAGTGGTTGATTTCAGATCTGGTAGGACGGTCTGCGCGAGGTAGGTTAAAATATCAGGGTTGGGCCAGCGCAGGCACAATAACCCGACAATCCAGCACATGTTCATATTATACGTCTCCTCGTATAGGTACCGCGGTGGATCACATCCCTTTGCAATTCCCAGAATCGTCTTGGCCCATCCATTCAACTTCGAAGTGACTGGTCCACTCGCTGCGTCGAGTGAAAATTGAAGTGGTTGCCAGTCACAGTAGACCTGAGCTAGCGCGTACATTGCGCAGGCCATTGCCTCCTCATGACTCGCGAAAGTAATCGGCGGGATGGTATCATCTGTATAACCATATTCCATCTCATGGAAAGCTGGGTGGCTGGTGCATCGAACAAAAGCATTGTAGAGAGGAGTTGACTGAGCGAAAAGGATGTCGATACGTCTCCGTAGATTTTCGAGCTTCTCATAACCCTCCGACTCTGAGCTTCCCGAGAGATGAGCTTTGCCGTACCCAGGCACTGACATCCTGTTAAGCAGCCCCTGTAGCTTGTCAGAGGGATACTGTGTGGACTTTCCCAGGAGCAAATTGGACGATATGCGGATTGCGTCTACCACCATAGAGAACAAAATTTCTTGCGGTGAACAAATCTGGTCTGCCAGAATGTCTAGCTCGCGGTGGACCATATCTTCCCTGCGTAGGGAATGTAATGGGCCGAGAAAAAGAGCACCCTTTGAAAGAGTGAAAAGACTCGCTCGCAGCAGCAATTGACCATAAGGCGTTGCCGATAAATTGTGATGGTAGCGAAGTGTAAGAGTCTCGAGTCCCTGGAGGTGACAGGAGTAACCCCTGACTGTCCCAACAACATTTTCGAAGAGGATGAAAAAGATGACGGTAGCAAAGATGTCCTCTAATTGGCTGTGATTCTGCTGTATCAACCTGATTGCCCGACTGAAGTGATTCAACGACTGGATGAAGAAATACTTATTCGGCCGGACGAGTGTCTTCGATTGTGTATGGTATGGAGCACCCAAAGAATAGGCAAAGCGAGCAGCAGAGAAAGCCACAGTAGCATCACATAGGGCTGGCAGGGTTGAAAGTCTTGAAACGACAGGCCGCACGCTGGTCGGTAATAAGTCGACGATATGCGCGAAGTACTGATTAAGGTAAATTCGCTCTGAGCCACTTATCTGATACGCAAGCTGAAGCCCACTATTGCTGAGCGCTCGATCTTTCGCTGAACGCATAGGGGTTCCCGTCTGGGTGAGCCTCGTTACAAGCTCACCATCATAGCGGACCTTTCTTGTTCGCCCCGGCCTATCCAGTGCGACTCGAAATCGAACCAAAGGTCTTTGGTAGGAACATGTGATTTTCAGCCGCGAACAGACTCCACAACTGGGGCTGCCCTCATCACACTAAATGAGAGTTGAACGACGTTAATAAGGATTCAAGCCACTCGCACGTGAGTTTCACCTTTCGTTTTTTCCTCCTGCAGGAAATGCAACCATTCCGGCTTCGGGTGATGTTTGTTTTTCTAGGTCGAGGCGGAGGAGGGCCGTACATGACTTATGATAAAGCAGGCAAACATTCCATTCCGTTAGTCGCTAACAATTGGTGTCGACAATCTAGCCGGCAAACTTCTGAAATTTTGTATCAGTCTTGTAGAAGCGGAGGAATGATGAGCGTGACTTTACCAGGAGTTCAGGGCGGTGAAGGCTGGCCTCCAAGGCGGCGGACCAATACGACACTGGCTCAATACTCAAAAACCTTGACCGCCCCTGATACCACGTTAATGTCATTGCCTCACACATGTGGTTTCCAGCCCTAAATAGCTAAGTAGTCACCCTCCCACCTAAATAGGAAATCTAGGCTTGTTTGAAATTATTGCGGATATCGACGAATCTCCTCAAGAAGAGGATCTCTGACCATAGCTCTATTCACCTTCTTCGCCCTCTTCGCCCTCTTCGCCCTCGATCTCTGCGAATAGCTTCCTACCGCCAACCTCCCTTATCGCCCACTATACCAGGTCCGATTGACCTAGCGCGATACAGACAGAAGACAGTAGGTCTCACCCGTATCGACCACTCAGCAGAGGATATTCTTATCGGCCTCTTGAAAAATGACGCAATCGAGGTCGCACTTAGCACGATCAATAAACGCCTACGCCAATAGAGAAGCTATCTACCTACAAGTTGGACTCGGCGAAAATTAGGAGGTTCGAAATTCTGCCGGACAAATAGTCTGGCCTTCAGGCATAGAGCCAGTGCCGCTATCTTCCGCCTAAGCCACCCACCTATGGCCTGTCGTCACGTTCGATTATAAATCGCGACGCGCCACGTTTTAACTATCTTATGGTTGTAAATAACCTTATTATTGAGATATCGACTTCATCACCTAGTGTTCTTTGTGAATGTCTGGTAACAGTCTGATACGTACCTGGCTAAATCTTGCCTTAGACGAGGTGGAGCTTAAGGAACTGTCTCTCTTGAATGATCCGATAAGAGGATCATCTAGGACGAGTTCGTTTTCGATCCTGTTGAATGCCTATTCCACTTAGCCATCATCTCTAGTTGGTGATCCTGGCCCATAAACAGGCTATACCCTAACCATTGAACTTGCTCTTCCAGTTTTCCTCACAAATAACCTCCTATTCTAGCTCTCATGCTTACTCTAAGTAAGTTTGTGTTCCTGGTCTAATAATCATTGATGAAAACACCTTGAATACAAATACTTTAACACTTTGCAAGCTAGATCTATTAAAAATCAAGCAACACAGGAAGAGTACCAGCGCGAACACAGAAGGGAAATAAATACAAATATCACGAAATATAAGTCTTCAGCTCCGCCTCCGTCCATTCCCACAACTTCAATGCCAAGCTTCTGTTCTTCAACAAGCCGTTACTAGCGGCCTTTCCGACAGGGAGGTAGTATTCGCCAGTTTGAACCTCATTTGATGTGCTTGCCCATAGCTGGTTCAAAGCGCCGGTTTCCACATCCACGGCGATGGCCATTTCCGAAACTTTCAGTAGAAGCGACATGAAAATGGAAGAGCCTTTGCTTTCTTCAGCAATATTTGTCCGGACAAGTCCAGGATGCAGAGCGGCGGATTTGATCGCAGGGTACTTCTCTGCTAGGATCTTGGTGTAGTAGGCATTTGCAAGCTTCGATTGACCGTAACGGGAAAGGGTGCCAAGATCGGCCAGAGGAGTCTTGTTTTCCTCGAAGAGAATTCCACGTTTCGGAGCCGCTTTATACAGTTCCGAGCTCACATTGATGATACGGACGTCCTTCCCAGCCGTTGCAGTTCTTTCCAGAAGTGGAAGGAGCAACTTGGTAAGGAGGACGGGCCCCATGTAATTGGTGCCAAAGTTGATTTCATACCCATCTTCCGTAAGGCCAGAGTTTGCCAGCATGACACCAGCATTATTCACGAGGATATCGAGCCGGTCAGTCTCAGACAGGAGAGTCTCTGCCGCCTTTTTCACAGATTTCAAGGAAGCGAGATCCAGTTGCAAGAATATAATGTTTGCCGTTGGCACGGTCTCCTTGATATCACCAATAGCAGCTTTCGCTTTCGCTTCGCTGCGGGCGCCCAGATAAATCCTTTCGGGATTGTGTTTGGCAAGCTGGAGGATGGTTTCCTTTCCCAAGCCAGTGTTGCCACCAGTGACGAAGATAACCTTGCCCGACAGGCCGGGGATGTCATTTCTGGGGTTAAATCGAGGACTCGAACTGAAAATGAGTCCCATTGTTGTAACAAGTATAATGTGCCCGAGGGAAGATTTCAGGTGACTCGTAAAAACATTGATCTTGTGCCTCGTGGTAAAGACACGAAATGTGTTGTTTTTTTTGAGCTTCGATAATAATCAGTAATTAGTAATTTTAGTCTTCTCAGCCGTGGAAGATCTCAGAGAGATATCAGTCATCAACCTTGTCGGTGCCCCCGATGTATTATTGATCCAAGTTGCGGGTTCGGGTACCAATTTGGCCGGCTGTTCACCGTGAACTTTATCCAGGCCCGACACCATATGGGATTACTTTCGGCCGAGGGGACATTTTTTTTCTCCTGCGCACCCGTTCACTTCTTCGAGACAAAAGTGGCGGTTCCGGTCAACCCGGAGTTGTTGCTTGGCAGAAATTAGGTTTGTCACCATAGGCGTGTCCATTGTAGGCAATCCTCTTGATTCTGCCCCACTATTTTTACTGTCGCCACGGAATTTAGGATCGGCGCTAGCGCAATCGTTGACTGATTTGGGTTTAGTAGATTTCGGCTGTTTCATATTTCATGATTATCAACACTCCTTAGTGATGAGATAGTAGTTGGAAAAGTGGAGAAATCTAGTATGAGATTGTATGCCTAGTGGGGAGGAAAACAGCCCACGGAACCATATGGATTAGATCGATTGATTAGAGCAAAAGGAAAACGAGCAAAAGAGGAAAAACAGAAGCAGGTTGAGCTATCCCCAGGCGGGGTAGCCGAGTACTCCGGTGACTCGGTGTCTGGGGAATACCCGCAAATACTAGCAAGGTACATACACAAAGGCGTCAGGGATTCGACCGATCCCGAGTCACCGTAATAAAAGATAGTCCACATTCTTCACAGCGTTTATCCCCACTTTATGAGTTTGGTAACTAGGAAGTTGGTTGATTGCTTAGCTAACTCGAACCCTAGAATTAATAACGATGATCTAGAAGCCTCAACAGTCGCTTGACCCTTGCTGGTAGATTCCAATGCTTTGAAATCAGCTCACTGCTGCATGGAAGTGTCATATTTATTGTGATGAGGAGAGCCTCTTTCAAACAAGCAAGCGACAAGCAAATTTCATATTCTCGTCAACATGAGCACAAATCTGAAGTACTTCATCACTGGCGCCAATCGTGGCATCGGCAAAGGTCTTGTCACCATCTTACTGCAAAGACCTGCAACTACTGTTATTGCTACCGTTCGAGATCTCTCGAGTAATACCACCGAGGAACTACGCCAGCTACCAACGGCCAAAGACTCCAAGCTCATTGTACTCAAACTCGACTCTGCAATTGAAAATGACGCTTTCGACGCGGTTACCTGCTTGACGCAAACCCATGGCATTACATCTCTAGACGTTGTCGTGGCAAACGCCGGTATCTCTCACTCGGGAAAACCTGTTGCTCAGACTTCTGTCGAGGCAGCCCTTGAACATTTCTCGGTCAACTCTATCGCCCCATTGATTTTATTCCGGGCTACTGCTAGCTTACTCAAAGCCAGCAAAAGTGGTCGCTCCACTTTCGTCGCACTGAGCTCTATTATTGGCTCGATTGGCGGAATGGAACTACTCGCGGGATTCCCGGCGAAACTGAGCCCCTATGGAGCAAGCAAAGCAGCATTGAACTGGCTGGTCCGCAGGATTCAATTTGAGGAGCCTTGGCTGATCAGCTTTGTTATTCATCCGGGATTGGTCCTATCAGATATGGGATCTGCCGCGGTCAAAGAAACAGGCGCTGATCCGATTGCCCTGGGGGCGATAAGTGTCGAGGAAAGTGCCAAGGCAATCCTAAAGAGCATTGACGAAGCCACACCTGATACGAGCGGTACCTTCCAGAGTTATAATGGGGGGATTCTCCCATGGTAAACCATCTGGTGATTGCTGGACTACATGGATGGTGTACAGGACGTGTTCTAATGGGCAAATTTCATTGCACTACTGTGCCTAAGCCCTGTCTGGATCCTAATCCTGCTGGAGATTTGCTCATTCCTGTCTAGTTCCTTGCCCTTTGATGCTTTGAGGGCCAGCTTTTTCCTTTACTAGTTGTTGAGTGGCATTCGCTAGTGGGCATTGATGCAGCTTGCTCTCTCTTTGATTTGCGGTCTATATAAGCCTATGCTTTTATTTTCTACTCCTTCTCTAGATAGACTAGAAGTCGCTCTTTTTCTAAATCTTGTTTTCTGTCCCTACGACGTGGACAAACTTTTTAAATTTTTGGTCTCTACTTACCCTCGGAGTAATATCTTTCTCCTCCTTCATGGCAACAGGTTGTGGTTCAGGTAGTGGGTGAACCAAAAAGAGACAAAATCGTGCCTATCGTGAAAAACATGAAGCTGCGCCAAAGTTCTGACGAGTCATCTAGATAGTCCTCGATTGTAAGGCTAATTCCTAAAGGAGACTGGCCTGGAGGGACTGGTTCGTATACAAGTTATGTGAAGAAACTTTTATGATGTGATATCAATAAGTGATGGAGACGATGTCTTATGAGTACGGAGTTTGTAGACTTATGTGTATTAATAATTACTCTGACTCTTCATACCCTACAGACTGGCTTCCTTTGATAATTTATCTTTAGGGAATCTACGAGTCCATCGTTTAGTTGTAACGTCCTTAACTTACGGCTGGCTTCGGCCTTCTTAATATATTCTGTATGTCCTTACTAAGTCTCGGACCGAGTATATCCGAGCTTCCTATTAAGGTAATTACTTTAGTAAGGTAGCTAGACTTAATAGTTAGGGAAGAGATAGCTTAAAATAAATAGGTTAGTATAAAGACTAATTCTTAGGGAACCTATAAGGGGACTCCCTTTATTAAAGTACCCTGTGAGGTGATCCGTAGTTTAGTAATTATTAGGTAACCCGTAACCTATAATCTAGATCTAGCTATATATTAGGGTCAGGATCGTAGGGTGACTAGGACTATTAACTACGTAAAGGATTAAAGTCTAGGGGGGCTTCAATTTAAAGACTGAATCTTAAAGGTCGGAGTTCTTCCTCCCTTCTACGATTATTATATATATAGCTCCTATATACCGGGCCAATATCCTTAGGGCTATAACCCGGATAGATTCGTTAGCGTTCCGTACGTGATTCTCCCGCGGCCGCGCCTTAGTAGATTACGCTGTAATAATTAATCCCCTCCTTTATACTAGATATCCTAGCTAGAAGTCTCCTAAGTTTTAGCTATTTATATATATACTATATACTATATATTATAATATTCACGTCTCTATCGGATAATAATATTCCTTTATATTACCCGAGCTATAACTATAGATAGGATAGTAGGGTCTACTAAGATCCAGAGGGTAGATAGGACATAGTTCTTCTAAGTATATCTACGGACGTGACTATATATATATAGAGGACTAAGGGTCCTTACGTGACCGAATAGAGCCGTACGGTAAGGTTATAGCTTATCTAGCTCTAGTTATCGCGAAAAGGAAGGGTTAGGATACCTAAGGTAGCTATAGGCCTATAATTATATTCTCTCCTACTAGATTCGACTATACCCTCGCGGTCGGGAATCTCTTATAAAGAAACGCGTTACGAAAATCCTTACGCTTACGCTTCTCTATCGAAAGAGCTACGTCCGAGTTAGAATTCCTATAATTCCTATAATTTCTAACCCGAATCTCCGCTAATCGGCGCTATACTTATAAGAATAGTAGAACTTAGATAAAGGAAATCGATCGGCGAAGCTAACTATTATAAAAATTAGACGATAGTATTAATCTATATAAAGAATAGACAGGATTAGGCTCTTATAGCTTTATAGGGCTTCCTAATATTTACTAAATCCGGTAATTTATATCTATATTAAAGGAATCTTCCTTAATATAGTAACTCCTAGGATAAGATAAGTCTTTTACTTAAATACTTATTCTTAGCTTCTCTTTCTTCCTATAACTTATAATATATTTCTCTTTCTAGTACTTAAAATCTTCTTCTAGCTTTAATATAGATAAGTCCTTTACTATTTATATCTATTTAATACCGATAATAACCTCTCTTTAGTATTAATATATACTTTAGTAACTTATAGTATATCTTCCGATAGTATATCTATACTAACTTAATCTCTTAAGTAGAGCTAGCTATAATCTAGTATTCCGGCTAGTAATACTCTAAGTAATACTATTCCTATTAACTCTAATATTCCTATATATCTATCTAATATTAAAAGGACTACTTATTATCTCTATAGTAGCGGTAATAGTAATAGGGATAATAGTAGTAATAGTAATAGCGATAGTAATAATAATAATAGTAATAGCGATAATAGTAATAATAGTAATAATAATAATAATAGTAATAGTAAGAATAAGATAGCTAAGGATTCTAAAGGAGAAGTAGATAATAATAAGATTCCTCTATTTATAATATATAGGTCCTCTTTACTCTCTTATAGTACTATATATCTACTAACTCTAGTATATAGATATAGGTCTTAACTTATAGTTTAATCCTCTTTTACTTTCTTTTTAGAAGAGTAACGATCTTACTATATAATAGCTTAAGTATATATATAATATTAACTAGGCCTATAGCCCGAAAGATTATAAGGATTAATTATATCTTCGATATATACTTATTTAATAAGTTAGTATTAAGATATTATCTAGTAAGTCCTATCTCTCTTATAGTAGGAAGAAGGGTCTATTTAAGTCCTACCGGATCCTAATCTTCGATAGGAAGTCTTAGTTTAATAGGTTCTACGCGAATTATACTTAGGGCAGAGATAGAGCTAAATATTTATTCTATAGAAGAGATAAAACTCTTCCTACTTAGATTACTATACTCCTAAAAAAGGAAAATCCGAACTATCTAGCTATTTAGATAACTAAGACTATAACTAAGCCTAAGTATAAGAATATAGATAGCTAGTATTTATATATAGAAGAACCTTCTAAGCGTATAAAGATAGCTAATAGCTTAAGTAAGATCTCGAAAAAGTCTATCTTATAGTCTTTTAAGAATACTTAGTTTAGTTTATCTCTTAATAATAAGAAATTATATATTACTAATAGTAATTTCTTATATACTAAGAAAGCTTATACTATCCTTAAGGATATTATTACCTATATATAAAGTAACTATAATATTCTTATATAGATATTTAAGACTAAGGATAAATTCGATAAGAATAATAATAATAATAGCGATAAGAAGGTAGATAAAAGTAAGAAGGATCTATTAGAGAAATTCTTATAAGGATACTAGTATATATATATATATTTCTTTATAGTTACTAGAACTATTTTTTAGGAATTATAATAGCTATAGGACCTTTAAATAGGGTCTTTTCTTAAGTATCGGTATCTCTAGACTTACTTTTATAGACCGGATAGCTTTATATATTACTATTCCCCTATTATATATCTTTACTATCTATTTCTAGATCTATACTTTCCGATCCGGAGGACTATAGCTTCTCTTAATCTTAAATAGATTTATATACTTTCTTCTATATCTATTTAAGTCTCTTTTAATAGTAGTTAAGTATAATATAGATAATATATTACCTCTTGTAGGCTTTTATCGCTATACTTATTCTCTTTTCTACTAGTTCCTAGTAAATAATATCCTTACGGAACTTATCCTATTTCTTATATATAAATAAGGATAGTTCTAAGTAAGATAGGAGGTTCTTATTCTCTTTAAGGATATATAGGATCTCCTTAGGCTACTATAGATATAGGTCTTTTATATATAAGATACTCTATACTATCTAGAATATCTATAGCTATTTAGGGTTCTAGACTTTTACCTCGATAAGCCGAGATCTATTAATTAAGGAGCGGAGTATATAACTACTTAGCTCCGCTAGTATATATATACTAAGTAGATACCGGCTAAGTACCTCGAATAAGCTAAACTACTTACTTTTATACTTCTTTAGTAATTTATTATATACTAAGACCTAGATTCCTTTTAAAGCCTATCTTTATAATCTTACTATTATAGATCCGGTTAGTCTTAATCGCTTATATAAGAAAGAGCTTATTAGCTTTTATTCTTATATTATCTAGATCCTATAGCTTACTAAGATAGTCTCTATCTATTAAGATACTCTATATAGGATTATTACCTAGTAATTATAGATATATACTATATACTAAGAAGAATAGACTAAGACTAATAACTATATATTCTTATATCCTTATAGCTAATACTACTTATACTAGATATAAGTCCTAAGCTTTTATAGACTTATCTATAAGATATTTTATTAATATATATCTAATTAAACTATTTAGGTTCTTAACTTTCCTATTTATCCGCGGATAATAAGAGATTATAGTTCGATATCTAGTCTTTAGAAGCTTTAGATAGTAGTTAACTACTCCTAAAAGTAGGTTCTAACTATTATCTAATAATAATTCTAAGGGGATACTATAGTTTATAAAGATTTATTTATATAAGAACTAACCTAAGGATTCTTCTATTACTTCTAGTACTACTTATATAACTAGCTAGCCGGTTATATAATTAATTATAGTAATAATCTACTAATTCCTATTAGATATAGTAGATAAGATACTAATTAGGTTAATATCCTAATATTAGAATAGCTAGATATTATATATTACTATATACTATAGTAACTCTCTCTCTAGACTCTTCTTTAAATCTTATAAAACCTAATAATTAGGATATATATATACTACTTTCTTAATATCCTTTTATATCTATAACTACTATATCCTTAGATAGATAACTCCGTTTAACCCTAGCTAACCTAAGTAGCTATACTATATATATATCCGGTTAATAAGATCTATATAAAAGATAGGCTCTAGATATAGAGCTACTAGACTATCTTTATATATAAATATAAGTAATTACTTATTTATATTATTAGAA